TCAGAAGATGCCGCTCCTGCTTTCTTACTGCCCATTGAATTTATAGCTCCATCACCTCCAAGGAGCTTTCACTGGATATTATCCCTGATCTTGGCTCCCTGCACTTGGGAGTACTACAAGAAGTACTTGCAAGTACTTCCTCTGTCTTCCTCTGCACAGGCAGCCCCCATCTTGTCCACAGAGAGCACAAACCCTGCTCTGGAGACCCTCATGTCCTCACCATCAGCCCTGGGGCTGCCATACTTAACCCAGAAAAACATGGTCACTGGCTCCTGCATCCCTCAAGCCTCCTTGGCCATGCCCAGGTCTTCACCACTACAGCTTCCTACAAAAACCTTTGGAGGCAACTGCAGAGAAAATCAGATTGAGAAGCATATTAAACTGCCAGACTGTTGAGGAGAATGGCAACAGTCACAGGCTTGTTCAAAGGGCTGCTGCCTGTTCATGTGCTGCTCTGCGGGCTTGTTCCCTGCATCATACCTTCTGTGGCCAATGCCAGGTGCCTATTTACAGTCTGGGGCTTCTTCCCAATCACTGTTTCCAAAGTAAAAAAAAATAAATTACACAACTGCAACTGGAAGGTCTCCAGACAATATGCTTTCTGCTTTCCTATCCTTGATGATAAGCATTTCCAATTAGGACCAAGATGATCACTCATCTCTGTGATATCAAACTGAAGTCCTATGTGGCTGTATTCCCTGCCTGCTTCTGCTGAACTGCTGCAGTTTGTCATTTAAAGGTGTTTTTCAATATAAAAAGTCAAAGAAGATTTGGCTAAACCTGAATCAGAAGAAAGGATTAGGAAGGCAGAGGAATAATAATACATCAATTTAGCAAAGATCTTGCTCTGAATATAAAAAAGTACATCAGTAATCTGCATTGATGGCTTGGAGAAAATTGAGAGTGCGCAAGTGCTCTGTTATCTTTGCACTGCACCTTTTTTTGTTGTGCTTGTACCAATGCATATTTTACAAAGATTAATATGCTCCTACCAAATCTATACAGTCTTATGAAATCCATCGGGATATCTGGCAAGAACCTATCAGATCTTTTTTCTGTATGTTCCTTGCAAACAGATTAGTAACCAGTGAAATATTCTTAAGTGAGAGGGTAAAATGAAATGGATGTTTTATTGATGCAGAGAGGAGATCAGTGGGAATTCAAAATATGAAGTTGCAAGATTACATCAGGTAGCGTGAAAGACCTTTTCCCCTGAAGTTGGAAACAGCAAGCAGATATCAAAAGAGTGCATAAAGTAGAAAGGGATCACTAAAAACTTCATAACTTAAGGAGTTAATAAGTATCTTTGGCAAACCTGTTATCTTTTGTATGTTTTCACTGACTTCACAGGAATACATGATGTGAGGTTATGTCCTACATGAAGAGGAGGGAAAGGAAATGAATGAAGTTTTGTTTTACCAGCTGGAAAAAGTACTATCATTAGTAGATTCTATCAAACTCAATAATTTGTTCCTCATTTACACCTCTTCTTTGCTTGAAGAAAACCCTTTATAACTAATTTAGCAGCCATATTGGACCATACATTATCCCATACTATTCCAATGAACTATTAGAAAGTCAGCTTAATACAGCATCAAAAATAGATATTGGGAGCCTGATGCACAAAGTTTCTACTGACACCAATTGCACTTGAGTCAGATGCTGAACCACCACTGCAAAGCTTGCCTATGGCCACCTGGTGTTATTAGACTTAGCACTGATAAAGTAAATAAGGTTCAGACACAGAAATCTTTAAGACACTTAAAGAAATGTAGCCAACAAGTTCACAATATTCATTCTACTAAAGATCTGCTAAATCCGTAGGGGTTGGAGTAATAGCCTACTTTCATGGATAAAATACTTTTGAAATGAGCAAAGCCTGCGCCACAGACTTTAATCCGCACCACAGAAAATATCAGCAGTGTAACACAGTTGGGAGGTTTGCCTGGGAGTAAGGGCAAAGTACAGTGGCAGGTAACCAAAAGCACCTGACAGCCCTCATGAGGGCAGTTCACACATCTGTGTCCTTTATCCTTAGCCTAGAAGGGCTGTGCAGCTTTATGTTGCCAAGCATTACAGTGAGCCATCTATTTTCAAAACTATCACACTAAAAAGATTTACAGCACATTTACAAGATCTAGCACTAATTTTTTGCAAGAACACACAATGGATCACTATTAAAACACAGGCTTAAATCAGTCATCTGCCCTGCTAGGAGTCAGGGCTGTCACCTTCTTTATCATCAAGACCTGCAGGTGAGTGAAAGACAAACATAACGATGGATTTATGTGGTGCAATGTAATTTTGCTCTGCTTGAGCCAAACATCTGTATAGCCTAACAAATATCATACCCTCCTGAATTCTACTTCAAAATCCAAGAGCATATCCATCAAGGCAATTACCTATACCACAAACAGCTGTAAGTTGAATGCCAGAGATCACAAAACACAGCAAGACAGTTTCACAACAGCCTTTAAGCTCCTATCAGTTCTCCTGGGTATCACGGCCTGTAAGCATGGATTTCAGGAAAACTGCAAAAAATCCACCCCTGCCTTCAACTAAGACCCTTGACTATGAATGCCCCTCCACTGTGTAGGCAGAAGGACCATGAACAAGCTCTGGCCTCATCTGGAGCAAATTCAGTCTGCCTAACATCTCAATCAACCAAGAGCCAGGTCAGCACAGTGTGGAGCTAGGGGAAGTCAATATCCCTTGTGCTTCAGCTCCCTTTTTGCTCCCATTTTGCAGTAGGATTATGAGGAAGAAGAGAATTATGTGTCAAATTAGCAGCTATCATCCTAGTGGTACCTTGTTAAGGAAATGAGTAGGTCTGTGGAGAAGTAGTAAAGAATGAGAAGTGAAGAAAAAGAAAACCAGTGCACCTAAAAAGGGTGGCATAAAGTACCGTTAAAAGAAAACAGTCCTATCTAGTAGCTATCATAGCTACTGCTACTCTAAATGTAGATTAAAAACTGAGACGTATGGTCAAGTTGCTCACTTTTAATGGATAGGCATTGAAAATTACATAAATAATAGTTGTATAGCTAAAAAAGTGCTCTTTGTTGCACTTGGACTCTTAAAGCTGCTGTCTTCCATTCTGCAGGATCCAGGCATTCAGATTCCCAAAGAGTGAGTTAATCAATTGGTAGTACAAGAAATGAAAGGCAAGCGGTTGACCCTGCTGGGCAATGGCAAGGGCTCGTGCACATCTTGGATCCATTGAGTGGTTTGCTCATGGCAGGAAGTCAGCTGGCAGTGAAGGATCTGGAGGCTGGACAAGCTGCACATTGCACATACTCCAGAGCCACACCACACCAAGACCTCAGTCCTCAAACACCTCCAAAAGGACAGTAAGGCAATTCCTGTGAATGGTCTCCACTGGGCAACTCACGTCCTTATATATCTGGAGCCCAAAAGCAGTGAGTTGTAAGTGTTTGCCTTTAACCAGGCTGTGCCAGTGTGCACATTAATTTAAACCTCAGTTATGAAGAAGAGATATGTTAATATACAGAACAGTCATTGCCAGAAAAATACACTGGCCACTTTATGAAAAATGGATGAGGAGAAGATCTACATGCTGCAGAAGTTTTTGGTTCATACTTTTCCCCTAATTACTAACTCAATGAGTGCCCCTTTGTTTTTCAGGTCACTTCCCAATTATGTATTACATGTCCCCTTCATTCCACAACCTTTAATTCTTTTCCAGTTTTGCAGAATTAACTGGACAAGGTTCTTAATCTTGTCTCTACAAAGAACTTGTTGTAATTGCAATGAAAGCTTTCATTTTGCAAGTGTCTGAAATACGATTTTCTAGGGAAGGGGGAGTGTGAGTTGATGTTAGTCCCATCATTAATAACATTCTTGCAGGGATTATAGTGGTGGGAGTAAACACCCCAAAGCTTTTATATAATAATGATCATGTGTCTGCATGTGAGCTGCTCCTTTAAGAAGCCGTGGGCTAGTGGAAGAAGGGGGATCTGGAGAAAAGGCAGCCCTGCAGCTACAACAAGGGGCAGAGGTTAAATCTGTTGGCATTTTGATCACAAGTATGGTCACTGCATACCCTCTCCCTGAAGGCTTCACTGAATTAGAGGTGTTTGCCATCGGCACTGCCCTGCTGGTAGAAGGTAAGCTTGGTGCGGGACCTCAGCAGCAATAAGATTTTTGCCCCTATTATTCCCAGTGGGAGGGGGAAGGAAAATTGAAGCAAACAGCAGCATTTGTGGTAGACTGACCCAGACCTATGGTGGTTACTGTGGCTACATCACCAGTACTTCTGGTGAGTTAATTGGAGTGAGCTACAAGCTGTCTGCAGTAAAGATCTGCTCTGTCTATATGGCTGCCCTAAAATGGAGAAGTACTTGCTACTTAGCTTTCTTATCAAGAATTTGGGATGTAAGATTCTGTTGTTGCCTTTTAAAGGCAATTTTATCTTTCTTGGGGAAAGGATATTGAAATGATGATCCTCTCAGTAAAATCAGGCTGATTGTTTTGCAGGCTGTGATGGCCATCTTATAATCAAAGATGATACGTCCAAAGTAGCCTGTTAACAGTTAGCATACATCCAGATAGCATTGGTAGCACTGCAGTTAATGGCTGCTGGGTAAAACTAACAAACAGAAACATACTTGCATGAGATTCAAAATGTCTTGCACTGTTGAGATGCAAAATTTGAGGTAGGAGAGCATATTCACTTAATTTAGCCAATGTGGGCTTTTCTTAAGGCATCCGTCGCTTTGAGAGACTGCAACAAAACTGTCAGTTTGTGTTTGCCTGGCAGCTAGGATTGTTTTGGTGTCAGTCACTGGTGACTCAGGTGACTCACTCTCTGGTGACTCACTCTCTTCTGAGCTACATCCCAGTCAGGGCCTGGGACCCCATCCTGCACAGTGCTGCTTGGCTGGGGATGCAGAGCTTTTTGGGTCCCACAGCAGAGCAGGAGAAGCTTTAAGCACCATCAGAATGCGATAAATGCTCATCAGCTCACCCCATGAATGTGGAGCATGGGAGAAAGGAGGATCAGCTGGAAGGCAGCACTATATCTGCATGCAAAGGAAAGCTGGAAGAGCTGTGTCAGAAACTTTCTTGGAAAAGAGAGAGAGAGAAGAAAAATCTACTACTGGCCCAGGGGCAAGCTGCTGCCTAAAGAGAGAGTTCAGAGCTACATCTGGCCAACAGCCATTAGGCCATCTGCAGGTCCTGGCATGACTTTCCACTTTGTTACTGAGGGGTGAGAAGCTGCAGGAGGACAGGGACACTGTTGGGTGCTGGCAGAGCCCAAACAGCCAGAGTCTTTGTGGGGAATGGCTGGTTGTAGGACCACAGCCCTGTCAGCCCACCCACCCACGCCTGGGGGCTGCAGCCTGCCAGAGACCTGCAGTTGTTCAAGTCCAAGCAAAGAACCTGCTGGTAACCTTCATTTAAAACTAGACGTGGTCTAAAATGCTTATGTTTAACTAAACACAAGTATTTTCTATAGGGTTCTAGGTAAAACATGCCCAGTGGTTTGGCAATAATACTTTACCTTTGTCATCTGACTTAGATCTAATTTAATAATTAAAGATTAATTCACTTTCTCAGAGACTCTGAGAGAAAGACAATTAAAACCACCTTTTTTGCTGCAGCTTCTAAGTGCAGTTTGCAAAAAAAGTGATGGGAAAGAGGAAAACTCTGTAATCACTTTATAAACTGGACACATTTGCTGTTCTAAAAATGAAAACTCAGAGCTGTTTTTTAATTTAGTAAGTTCTCTATTTGTACAGTCATGCTGGCCGTCAAGAAAGCAGAGTGGGTTGAAGCCTGGAGCTTCCAAAAATGGAGGAAAGATAGAAAAGAGTTGATATTGTAATAATTTTTGAGCTCTACTCTAAATATGGTAACAACATATCTCTCCTAAAGGCTTGACTGCATTTGGGAGAGTTGGCAGCAGTTCTACCCTATGTGTGGGAGATAAGCTGGCAGGGAGGAAATAAGAACAGCAGATCTCAAATGGCTCCAAATATTTCTCCTGGAAATATTTGGTTATACGTTGTGTAATGAAAGACACACATCAGCTGTTACTATGGTTATGCCATCAGCCATTAATGCAATTAAGGCAGAAGCAGGATTTCTGACTGGACAAAATCATCCATCTTATGTAACTGCAGAATTAAGACAATGAGCATAAGTAACTACGCTACTTTATCTGTAAAGGGGATGTGGATTTTTTTCTGCGCTACATCTTTTCTCATCTAACTGAGACTTATCGATTAGATGTTGACTCAGAGCCAAAATAATTCAGGTTGTCTTGAAAAGGACATTAAAGGACAAAGCTTGAGTTAAACCAATGAAGAATGAGTTTCATGGTGGCACAGCTCTGTGCTGGGCAAATAGCTGGAGCTGCTTGAATGCTCCTCTCTGAGGACCAAAATTAACCTATTTTTTTAAATCTATCAGTGACTGCTTTTTATAATTAGATTATTCCTTTCCATGTATAGTCTATTGACGAAGGGCAGTAATAAGATTGAGCTGGTGTGATTCAAGCACTGTCTAGGTTAACCTTAGATAGAAGCCCAGAGGGAGGCAGGCTGACTGAAACATGGCTGAGGGATTTCTGTGCTTAAACACAAAAGAATGTTACAGCTGATATTAAACACAACCCGTTTCTCTACCACAGACAGGCCTGGAGACGTGCGCACCAGCAGCATGTGCTGGCTGTCAGCCCCTCTGGAGCTGCACCTCTGCACCTCCCTCGCTCTGACCCACGTGCCCCTGCGTGGAGCCTGGCAGTCAGGTGTCTCTATTAAATCAAAAGGCAGAATTACAAATAAGATTAAACCATTTCTGCTCCACATGACTGGCCATATCCCTGATGCAGCTGCTTCAGCTCTCACCTATGACATCTCTCCTGAAAGTCTTCATAACTCGAGTGCAGGCTGTGACCATTACAGATATATTCCTTGTGCATAAGATTCCACAGTAATTATTGTTCTCTCATTAAAGAAAACAGCAGTATCGTTGTAGATAATTTCCATTTCCAGTTGAATCACGCCAAACAATTCTGTATTTCAGCCTTGCTTGGTTTCTGTCTGAATGGCTTGACAATTATTTCTTTCCGAAAAATCAAAGAACTTCGAACACCCAGCAATCTGCTGGTTCTCAGCATTGCACTGGCCGACTGTGGGATCTGCATCAACGCATTCATTGCTGCCTTTTCCAGCTTCCTAAGGTATATCTTCCTTTTTCTAAAGGATGCTCAGAAGAACCACAAGAAAAATAACAGAGTTAAGTTCTAAAAGGTCTAATTGATTAAATCACTCTCTAGCATACCACCCAACCAACCTTCTCATTCTCTCAGTCTGAAACAGCAACGTGAAACTCTATATCACTCCACCAGGCAAGTAAAAAAGCAGATTTTACTGTGTATAATCACTGACATATCTTAAGACTGACTATACAAGACATTAAATCAGACAGCTATCCGGTGTTTATAGTAGAAGCTACCTGGATATCAAAATAGTAGTGCATTTTCATTAGGCTAAACCTCCAGACTGACCCCAAATTTATCTGCAGTTCTTTCTGGGTTTTTTAATGAACCTTTCCATTAAAGCACTTATTTGAGAAGTTTGTGGAAAATGAAAATGCAGATCTGTTAGCAGGGAGTTCACATCAGGTATGACACATTTGATTGTCCACATTTTCACATCTCAACCATTTAATTAGAGGGCAGATAAATATCAAGCATTTCAGTGAATAATTACACCAAACAAATCACAAGCAAAACATACTAAAAAAAGCCAAAACCCAGAAAGAACACAGAAAGAAAAAAACTCATGGCTCCTTGCCATGAGTGACCAGAATATCGAAGGCACATGTCAGCAGACGTCTGCTATGTGAGACCATCTCATGGTTCTTTTCATTCTGTATCTGCAAAGACACTTGGAGGCCTCAGTCTTGCTATCAGGAGTATTTTTATTTGCTGTGAGCTTTTGTACTGTGTTGCATGGTGAACACTGACTTTCCAAAAGGTTATTACTCATTTGCTAATTTCACATGTTGACAAATTGGCTGCTCCCACTGGGTACAAATTTTGAAGATATGGATAATTGGATGAAACATGGATTTCAAATTTAAAAACAGAAAAAGCCAGAAAACAAAAAACTTTCCGATACATAAATGCAGGGTTATATTTTCTTCTCCATATTAAGAGTAAAAATGGCTGTTGTACTGTATCAGACACCACAGCAAGATAAATTCTGGCAAATACCTAAAGGCAACCACAGTAACTTCTTTCACAATGTTTGTCAGACTTAGAAAGTACATGCACAAACTATCATTTTACCCTCTCCGTTAATGCAATTTCCAAACATATCTTCACCTTTTTCTGTCATTTTCTTAACACATTCCTTGTTTGTTGACAGGTACTGGCCCTACGGCTCTGACGGCTGTCAAATTCATGGATTCCAGGGCTTCTTGACAGCACTAGCCAGCATTAGCTCCAGCGCTGCCATTGCCTGGGACCGGTACCATCACTACTGTACAAGTAAGGGCTACAATTTACCTAGCAACCGTACCCAGATTCTGTTATAAGGCAGCTTGCTTAGATTTCAAAGAATCAAAGCAAGAACATACTTATTATCTGCTTGTCTTATGTGTAAGTTTATTTATCTTACACACTAGAGATAAAGCAAATACAAACAATCTCTCTAAAGGACCTCTTCCCATGCAGGAGGCATTAACCACCTGCCTTCAGGAGATATTTCCTCTTCCAGCTCACACCCTAGTCCTGACCTTCCTGCCATGTTTTCACACTTCTTTTCATGCTTCCTCATAAGTTATCTTCAGTGTCGCAAACAAAATCCAACACCCCGTATTGAAGAAAAATCTATGTACCTTGGGCTCCCATCCAACGCCCTGCTGGGTACCGAACAGATCTTCATGCCCATGCAGAGTTTACTAATTACAGATAAATTTCGTGCAGCTAGAGAGGTGCCTCTGCAGATACAGCAACCGGAACAGAGCCCACAGCAAATCACTTCTGCAGAGGTACGATCGGGCAGGCAGAGCTCAGCAGCCCCATTTTGCAGCACACAGGCACTTTGGGGTACAAGAGCCATTTGTGGGGTCTGTGCTATGTTCCAGGCCCTCTTGTGAAGTCTGGAGCTCAGTTCATTTGTTCCTGAGCAAGGAAGTGCAAGTTTCAATAAATAATAATAAAAGTGGCAAAGCTAATTTTAAAGGACTGATAAAAGGAGGAATATGTTATTTTTCTTCTCTTAGTGAAGGCCATTTTTTGTTTTTTCTTGAAATTTAGTGTTTAGCTTTGACACCTTACCTGGATTTAACGGAAAGACAGGAAGATCAACTCAGGAAACTAGATTTGCCTTTTTTATGAATATGAAAGCATATTTCTGATTTAGGTGACAAATAGAGATTAATAGGAGTGTGAAATATATGGATTTACAGATACAGATATGCTCTGTCTTTTATCACAGAACTACCTCCCAAACTTTGGTGGTATTGGATTTGTGCATTCATGTAACATGAGTGGAAATTTCTGCCGAATTAGGGTGCTGAGTTGGATTTGGTGTCTGTGGAGACTGCTAGGATTTGTGCTGGGTCTCCAGCTGTGTGCCAACCACAATGTGGATGGGAAGAATAGGGGAATAACTGTATTCTCTTAGCACAGAAGTCAGGAAGCACAGCAAGGGGCATTATCATCTGCTGTAAAATAAACTAGCAGCCTTGTGAGCACAGGGATGTTGGCTTTTCTCTAATAATATAGAGAATATAATATATTATAAAATATAATAGAATATATATAATATAATTGTGCTCACTGCTCTAGGGGTGCTTTCACAGGGCCTCACCTCTCCCCAGACACCAACTTCCACAGTAAATGCAGCAAATCAGTACCTATCAGTCCCCACTCTCCTCTACAGATTACTTCTATGCATCCAATGTTTTCAAAAGTTATTAGGAAAGGACTGAGTGACAAACACAGGTTGTACAATTTCATAGCCCTCATTAGGAAAAAAGAGACATGATATGAAACACAAACATGTTCTGAAAGGACATTTTAGCACTCCGTAATGCTAGGAATGCCCTAATCTGCACTATTTGGTCATTTTGGCAGTTATGTGGGAGCTCTGCCACCTGGGAGAAATGGTATTCCCATGCAGATCTGCAGCTTTCATGTTTCTTGCTGAAGCCAGGCCCTTTCCAGAGGCATGAGAAGTCCAGAGCAACCCACCTGACCACACTGTTCCCAAAAACAGTTGCATTCCTTTGGCAATGGTGATGGACAAGTGCAGCTCTCCTTTTCTTATGCTAAAGCACAGATTGCTCAGACCACTTCACAAAATATTTCCTAAATGAAAGTGTAAAAGTTGGCTTGGGAAGAAATGGCTGAGCTGCAGTGCTTCAATCCCCTCTGCTGTTAGCATCCACACAGCCTTTCAAGGTATAGACTCCATATGATTAGAGCAGTAAGTGGTAAAACACACCCAGGGCACGCAGCAAATGTTCAGTCTGATGATCCTGTTGAGAGTGGAAAGGCTGCCAACTTCTTGCTCTGCAACTTCTGTCAAGAATTCAGCTGAGGCAAGGAAGTGGGCATTTTTTCATGTCTAGACAAAGGCCCCAAATAATGCAGGCTCTCAGCTAAATCCATATCAACAGCCTTCGGATGCTGAAACCTGTTTGGAGCTGGAAGAGTAGCATCTGTATTTTACAGGAGAGACAGCCTGAAAATACACATCTTTGGAAAGATGTTTTACTCTCTACAACATTGACTTTAATGCTTTTGTGTCACGCAATCCTCCAGTAAAGAGCACATTACATTAAGAGCACAGGCAGAGAGACCCTAAGGGCACAGGCTTCTTTACTTTGCTCAAATTGTTACTTACTGATGGCCAAGCATTGCTGCTATTACTGAACATTTTGAACAACAAAACAAAAACAAAACCCTTGAAGGTTTTAAAATCTCATGCTCTGTGGCTATTCCAGTAAGATTAGCCACTTCTACTTTCATCCTTCACATGCTGATTGCAAGGAAGATTAAGTCATATTTCATAGATCTGATATACCAAGCCTACAGGCTATACTGTGTTCTCAATCCATACATTAAAGTCCTGTTGCCATTGGTGCAAGCCTGTACAGAAGGTACAAAATACCTTTGCCTAAAAACCAAAGCTATCAACCTTTTACCTTCATTCCCCAGGAACTGTACTCTTTCCAGACTCAATTACATCATCTACAATGCTTTTGTTATGTACTAACAGTTTCAAACAAAGCCTTTGTTGTGACATTGCTCAGCTTGACACTGATAGAGATTATCCACTATCCATATTTCTGAGGAAGAGTTTATGAGATTGTGAGAGATTGCTAAGGTGATGAGAAAAAAAAATGGAGTTTTCAGTCATTCTGGATGCTAGTAACACAAATATGTTCACCAACATCTTGAAAACTAACAAAGTTTTTTTAAAATTGGAAGTCAATACAACCTTTAGTGACAAAGTGCTAGCCTTTGAAGTGTATTGGTAACTAGACAGGTCACTCATCAGAAAGCAGGTTGTTATTGATTGACATATGGAAGAAAATGGTATGACCACCACATATGGCAGAGAAGCTACAGTTTCAAGATATTGTGCTCTTCTTCCTTTCTTCCTTCCAGGCAACCACACTGGGCAACACTCTTTTCATCCCCTAATTTGGCTTTGGGGTCCATGAGGTGCTACTTTCACAGTAAGGAGGAGAGAACTACAGAAATCTGTAGTCTTAAAAAGATGCAATAAGAGGAGAAAAGGCAGGGAAGTCTGAAGGCTTTGGATGTCAATCACTAGCAAGATGGGGAAAGAGATTCTTGTATTTCAAAACTTGATCATTAGAGGGAAAAGGAGAAAACAGCAGCACTTCTATGTTAGTGCCTAACAGTGAAGAAGGAGAGGGCAAGCTCTAAGGAAGCTGTCTTTATCAATAACCAAGCATTCAGGACAGAATATGGCATTTTATGTCAAGGTAGACATTGTTAGTTCTCCCTCCCTGGCTATTCAAATGAGGAAAATGTCCCAAATTATGATCTTAACATAGCAAGGGAGGAAGGAAGCAGCAGCCTGGGAGGTCTCACTGGAGCTGGGATCAGGCAGGAAAAGGGTAACTGGTGGAGAGCTCAAGGGGTCAGTGATCTGAAAGCAGGCAGCCACCTACCACAGAAATGTCTTTGCTGAAGGCATGTCAATCTAACACACAGTTCATTTTGGTGAGAGTGTAGCATGCTGCTGCCAGCAGGTTATGGAGAGGGGAAGGATACTGGCCAGTTTTTTTCCTTTCATAACTATGGCATACAGTTACAGTTTTAAAAGGAAAGGGAAAAACCTAGAAAATTTTACACTTGCATTTAAGAATTAGGGGGAAATGGAAAATATGAAGTCATTTCTGTCAGTACTTTTCTCGATATGACGAGAGAAAAGATAAACAAAATCAGCAGGGATTTTGCAGCAGCATTCAATTTCAAGAAGTAGAATTGCAGTGAGTTTTACCTAATCCTTAACATTCAAGGGAATCTAGGTTGTTATATCAGTATTCAAAGATTAGCAAACTACCATTTGCTCCAATTGCAGCTGTCAGCTCTGTCAAATTAGGAACAAGTCCCTACACCTCCTTGTCACACTTACTGTAGCCACCCTGGCATACTTCCTTCATCTAGTCTTGCACCTGCATCAGTTTTTTCCTGACAAAATGCCAGTGTTTATACAGATCTTGCATTTTCACTGAAGCAGGAGGTAATTGCCAAGAGAGCTTTATGATCATGGAAAACCACAGCAAAAAATTAATGGAGTAAAAAAATCCCTTTATTAGTTTATTTTATAGAGCTTTTCCTAATGATATGCACAAAATAAACCATTACGCAGTGCAGCTTTCTTATTCCTACAGAAATGAATACTTGTGAACACCAGTGACTGGTGCTTTTTGCACTGCAGATGAAGTAGGTACCAACATCTATTTTATTTATGACTGATACATATTTTCCCTTTTAAGACTTTCCGATATTTTTGTCTTCGACAAAGTTTGCCAATTTTAAGTGATGCATGCCACAAAGTCTGGTGCAAGCCATACTGTTGTGGGATATATCAGCTATTATAACTTAACCATTTGCAAGAAAGAGGAAAAAGGGACTTTTCCCCCCTTCATCCTAGAAAATCCTGTTGACCTTTTGTTTGAGAAATTCCTTTTGAACACCAGCCTGAAATGTAATTGAAAGGTAGCCACTGTGTCAGAGATGTATTTATTGCTCTTTCTATGAAAATCAGTTAAATGTTTGACCAATTTATAAATCTTAAAAGAAAAAAAATTAAATTCTTAAATGTCCCCAAAGCCTGAAGATGGAGACATAATTTATGATTATATCACTAAAAACTGGCCAGCATAATCAAAAGGATTAAGGTTCCATGCTTTAGCACTTTCTATAATTCAAGTTTTTGACATCACAATTTTTGTAATCTTCAAATGATGGGGGTTTTTTGCTTATAAGAGTGACCTCTTTCTGTTCCAAAGCAACTACAAAAGCCATTTAAAATCCCCTTTATTAGTAATTCACTGTACGAGAAAGAGAAGCTACCCTCTTGCTTTTCACGGATAGAAAGCCAGAGCACAAGAGTGATTAGATTTAATAGGACCAAATTGCCAGCACTGTGCCCTAATTAGGAATTGTATTCTTAAGCATATGCTGAATGCCATACATACACATTTAACTGAATTAGGACCTACGTGTCTATGACATTAAATTTTATCAGGCAAAAAGAAGGCATTTAAGGTAAAGCAATGGCCTGCTCTGCACAAGAACAACTGATCTGCTCTCAGCTTGCTCTCTTCCATTCAGGCCTCTCACAGGAGGACATTTTTGCCATGTGAACAGAGCATGATTCTTTCACTGTTCTTGCACTGAAAGTATTTTTTCTAAGTAAAACTAAAATGAAGTTTGTTTAATTTTACATTCATACATTTTTAGCTACTTCTAATGTGTCATTAAGTGTTTTCTGGGTGGTCAACAGGCAACTGATTTCACCAGGACTATTTCACCATTAATCTCATTTTGCAAATGCTCAAAACCATAAGGAAAAGTTTAAGTTCTGGTTCTCTCTTTTTCTAGTGTCCAAAATGGGACTCCTCAAATGTGAGGAGGTGTCAGCAGCTGTCAAAACATGTCTGGTGCCAGACTCCATCATTGCATGATCCTTTTACTCTACACCCAGTAAGAAAATGGGGTTCCCTAACACCCACGGAAAAGTAACTAAAATAAACTTTTTCTTACAGTTTTTCACAGAAGAGGCACAAACATTAAAGTAAACAATTAGGAAAATAAGGAAACAAATAAATCTAACAGAAATTGAGAAGGGTCTTCTCACTGTGCTCCCTACAGCCCTGTCAGGCACACGGGCCTCCCCAGCAGCAGCAGAGGGGGAACCAAGGCAGGGCACTGCCAGTGAATAGCACAGGGAGTTTTCCCCTAGAGTGTCCTGTAGGCTGCATTATTCCTGTTGAAAAATTAAACATAGGAATCTTCATTAAAGCCACTCTTGATAGAAAATATTTGAAAGCCATTTCAGCA